GACTTTAAAGCTTCAGGGAAAAGCAGAGTGAAGAAACTGACCTTTAGTCACATTCTCTTTTCTGCTCCACTTCTAGTACATTGCCCAATTCTACATTCAAATTCACGTGATAAGCTGTTTTACTTAAATACCGCAGTATGAAAGGGTCCTTGGAGAGCGAACAGGGGGCTAATATATTAGTCTCTATCATTGTGCTGCTGGGTTGCTGTAAATAATGTTTCTTAAACGTTGATATCACACCACGATTTCCCAGAAAACACAGTTTTGTTTTTCTCTCTGACTCTTATCTGAAAAGGAAAATGACAATAAAACTCACTCTGACAAATATCTGCATGTGCTTTACATGTGGTTAAGGAGGTGATTTCTAAAATACTTTTAAATATGAAATCAAATTGAATAGCTTTTTAACAATGTAATAGCAACATATTGCAAAAGAAACAACCGTCTCTATACGGTCGTTCTTTGAAGGTAAATGCTGTAAACACGAGTAAACTCATTAAAAGTGCAGTGCAAAATGCATGTCACCTGGTTAGATTTTATTTCCATTTCCATATAACACCATTTTGTGCTACAAATATGTATTTTATGCATATCATTTGAATCCTCTCAGCTGCTTTTCAGCTTAATAACAGCTTTGACAATTTAGAGTCTCAGGTTGCCACCTAGAGTATTCTAAAGTAATATTAATTAATTCATGAAATTCAAATTGATACTATTCATATAATTTCAGTCACATATAAGTTATTTAATTTGTTTAGTTTTTAAATTTGATATTGTATTTGAATTACATTTATTAAAAGTATTACATTCAATTAGAAATAATTTATTTCATTTTATGTATTTGTTTATTTAACGATTTCAAAATTGCACCACCTTTTTGAAAATGGCTTGGGTTGCCACCGACTGTTGAGTAGTAAAGAATTTGATTGTTAGCTGAATATTTTAGTCTAAATTCATATTTTGAATGAATATTTATATGAAAAATATTTCTTAAAAATATTTTGAATTTATTTTGCTATCTGCATTATGTAGTAATATTAGCTATTTAATTTCGTTTATTTTTATAACTTTATATTATATTTATGTCATAGTTATTATTTATTTAAGTATGAAATGTAATTGAATTAAAGTAATTGATTACATTTGGTTTAATTGTTAAAATAGTTATTTATGAATTTCTGTATTTTAAGCATTTCAAAACTGCACCACACCTTAAGCGCTTGATTAAAGGGGTCATATGATGCTATTTTAAAGATCATTATTTTGTGTATTTGGTGTAACAGAATATGTTGTCATGCTTTAATGTTCAAAAAACACATTATTTTTCAAATACTGTACATTATTGTAGGTCCTCTATGCCCCGCCTCTCTCAAACACTTAGTTTTCTACAAAGTCCCTCCTTCCGACAAGCGCAGTCTGCTCTGATTGGCCAGCTGACCCAGTGCATTGTGATTGGCCGAACACTGCAAGCACTCGTCGGAAATGTAACGCCCCTTACCATAATCGCCAGCTTCATCTTTCAAAATAAATATCAAGACAGTTAATAATGTTGTTAGTTTTACCATCAGTTCAAGACTGAAAGAGCAACAGAGTCGCGTGACAGACACAGTGCTGATGCAGTACACAAGCCGCGGTTAAGACAGCTGACGTGTTATGATTTCTGACAGGCAGTTCACTCTCCTGTGATGTGACCCTGTTCCCCTC